GTGGCAGAGGGGAGCCTTTTGCCAGTAGTTCGCCCATGATGCATGGCAGCCATACCACAGCTGGAATTACAGCCACAACCTGGATATTCTCTGTACCTACAAGAAAGGAAAGAAACCACTAGTTTTCATAAAATTCAATTATGTGTGCTCGGTCGAAACAAAGAATACAAGAGTCAGACTGGATACCAAATCAAGCCTTTCTAGCTGGGCGTGGTGGCGCATGCCTGTAATCCCAGCACTCGGGAGGCTGAGGCAGGAGTATCATTGCGAGTTTGAGGCCATCCTGGACTACAAAGTGAGCTCAAGGTCAGCCTGAACTGCATAGCGAGACCCTGTCTTAAAAAGACAAAAAACAAAACAAAACAAAATAAACACCTCTGGGTGATTCTTCTGCTTCAGCTTCCCCAGTGCTGGAATTACAATCATGTGCCATCATGCCTCGTGTATCTGTCATTTTTAAATATTAATTTAGATGATAACTTTAAAATTTTATTTTTAGTTTTTTGCTAATGTATAGAATTATAATTGATTTTTTCATATATTAACTCTGGATTTGAAAACGCTTCTGTACTCTCTCACTAAATATGGTAATTTATCTGTAGCTCTTTTCCGATTTTTTGTCTACAATCATATAACCTGTAAAAAATGATATGCACCAGGGTACATTTACTAAGTCAGATCATAGCAGCCAAAGACTATAGTAGTCTTGTTCACAATTAATCCAAAGTGAGTAAAACAAATGTTAATCTACATTAGAATGGATAAACTGTGGTGTATTCACACAGTGATGAAAATGAATGAACTACAGTTAGCAACAACACAGACAAGTCTAAGAAAGATAATTGTGAATAAAAACAAGACATAGAATACATAAACACATAACATGATTCCATTTACATAGCTTTAAAAATAATTAAAAATAACTATCCTATCTAGGGATGCATACACAGGGATAAAACTGTAAAGAAAAGCAAGGAAATGATTATCACAAAAATTAGGGTAGTGAACCAGGCATGGTGGTGCATGCCTATAATCCCAGCACTCAAGAGGCTGAAGCAGGAGGATTGCTGTGAGTTCCAGGCTAGCCTGAACTGCACAGTGAAACCTGTCTCAAAAAGACAAAATGGCTGGGTATGGTGGCTCACACCTGTAATCCCAGCACTCGGGAGGCTGAGGCAGGAGGATGCTTGACAGTTCGAGACCAGCCTGGGCTACAAAGTGAGCTCAAGGACAGCCTGAACTGCAGAGCGAGACCCTGTTTCAAAAAGACAAAAGAAAAAAGTAAAATGAAGAAACAAAAAGTGATAATGCTAGAAATGAAAATTCTGGAGGATAGGTGGCTTTTGAGACACTGTCTTGCTATGTAGCTCATGATGGCCTTGAACACTCTAGGTAGTTCACACAGTTAAAACACCTTTCAAAGTTTTCATACTTAAGTTAGGAAACAAATGTATTTTCCCCCATTAAGAATCTTTGCAATTGCAGCTTGCTAAGTCATTTTTAGACCTCACACTAAAGTGCAATTGGAAGATTCCTTTAAATGAGGTAAAGGTCTTTCCCCTCTCTCCTCAGATGCATGACCTGTCAAGTAATGCATCTGATGTGTCTGGGCACACTAATAAACAGGATCTGACTTTCTTTTTTTTTTTTCTTTTGAGACAGGGTCTCCTATGTAGTTTAGAATGGCCTGGAACTCATGGAGATCCTCCTGACTCAGTCTCCCCAGTGCTGGGATTTCAGGAGTGCACCACCACCCACGCCCGGCCTCAACTGATTTCTGTCTTTCTGAAAATTGATTAAATCTGAAACTAGGCCTTAAACCCCACCAAACCCAAATTACTCCAGCACTAAAACCCTTCAAGGGCTTCTAACTACGTTTGGAACAAAATTCGAACTCCTTCCCCTGGCCCCAAAGTTCTGCCTGAGTCGTTCGCCTACAGTCCATCCACTGGCCGGGCCATCCCCTGACCACCCCGCCGCAGGCGTCTTTGTGATCCACAAGCACCTCTGGCCTGCCGCTGGGCTCCCGCAGGACGCGGTTTTCCCAGCCCCCACCTCCACGCCCTCTAGCTGGGCGAGCCCTCCTTACAGCACCCTGCACTGTGCTTTTAGGGCCCTAGGACGGTGGCCGCATTGCCGTTTGATAAGGGCCCATTAAACGCCCTGGGGGTTTGGGGGGCTGGGGTGCTGCTCAGTGCTAGAGCTCAGTGCGAAAGCTCAGTGCTTAGAGCTCGCCTGGCACGCGCGCGGCCCTGGCTTCCATTCCCAGCACCGCAAAAAAAAAAAAAAAAGAAAAAAAGAAAAAAAGAATCCAAAAACAAAACAGAACAAAACACCCAAAACCAACCAGCAACAAGTGGTCCTAAGCATCTTTGCCTTCCTGGGCCTTTTCCCCCATTCATAATAATAATAATCAATTGATACATTTTGAGGGCCTTAAACACTTCAAGTTTTTCCCTCACGTGAGGAAAAAATGCAAAGATTTTCTGTGCCCTCAAGGGTCCACTATTTTGCCTCCTCGGACTAAAGAAGTCTGCACGTTCTCGCAACCCTTCGCGCCGCCACACCTGGGACTCCGGCGCCCGTGACTGCAACCCGACGGACTGCGCGGACCGCGGGAGCGCGCGAGGGGACGACGCCGACGAGACGGCGCCGACCGGACGGCTCCG